TCATCGCCACGTTCCTTGATCCAGCGATGAGGGAGGGGTACTTCGCTCTGGGCACGTTTGAGACTAGGCACCCAGAGCTGGTTCAGGGAGGGAGGGAGAGGCGGGCAACGGGCCCAGTGACGGTGGAGCAGATCCTGGAGCTGGTGCGCACACGTGTGACGGATTACCAGGCGCAGGCAGCTGCGAGAGCGCCGGTGTCTCCACCTGCTGCAGCAGCGCCAGCACCTGCTGCCAACATTGAGGGGGATGAGGCTATTGGCAGTAGGCGCCGCTTGATTGCGCGCGTATCTGCTTCACGTGCTGCAGGAGGGTCTAGGCAGTTGGGGGACGAGGTGGACAGATATGTGGGGCACGATGAGACTGGCGACCTATCCCCCCTCGAGTTCTGGCGCACAGTGAAGAACCTTGACACACTGCGAGCCATGGCCAGGGATTACTTGGCGATTCCCGCCACCTCGGCATCGTGTGAGCGAGCATTCTCACAGAGCAGGAACTTGATCACCTTCCAGCGCACACGCCTGAACACCGAGCGTGTGCGGTCGTGCATGACTCTGCGGTCTTGGTACGACACGCACCCTGGTGGTCGTATCGGCGATGGGGCAGATTCTGCCCGTGCTGCAGCAGCAGTGGACTTGGGGCTCGAGGGAGAGGAGGAATGCGAGGAGGAGGAGGAGGAGGAGGAGGAGGAGGAGGGGGAGGAGGAGGGGGAGGGGGAGGCGACATATGCAGCGGGTGTGGGAGAGGGCCAGGGCTAGGGTGGGGTCGTGTGGATGGGTGGTGCCATCTCATGTTTGAAGTTTCTGTATACTTTTCTTGATTGGAGTGTCGTGACTGTTTTTTACCTCCTCATTTGCTTCTTTTTTCAGAACATGATGCTGTCCATAAACCATTAGACATGCATGTGTTGTAGTGTAACTTGTGCATCATTTTAACCCTCAAACCTTAAAAGGTTCGAGTTCGCTCAAACCTTCAAAGGTTTGAGCAAACCTTTAGGGTTCGCCATTGTATACTCAAACCTCAAACCTTAAAATTCTGAAAAAAGTTCGAGCAAACCTGTTCGGTTCGGTTCGACCAACATGCAAGGTTCGAAAAGGTTTGCTCAAACATGTTTGAGTTCGGTTCGTGCTCATATCTACCTGTAGACACACATTTAGCACAAGCACACAACTCCCGCAACTTCATTCTAGGTTTACGACCAGCAACCCCCTCGACTCCTAGCTTAGCGCGCGGCATTAGGGTTAGCGTTTTTAGTAGAAACATAGAAACCGATCCTACCGCCAAGGCTTCCTCCAACCCTAGTACATCGAATGAAGAGACCCATGGAGCATCGATAGCTGGTTCTAGCGAAGGAATAAAGTACGAAGAAATGCCGGAACATTCTACATACAAGCACTTTTTCTTTTTTATGGATCCTAAGAAAGGCAAGGGGAAGAGGGCGATGTGCAAATTTTGTTCCCACGATTTCATGAAGTCCACGACGCGGTGCTCTCAGCATCTCGCGGTTTGGGAAGGTCAACCTAAGAATCGCGATGTCATCCTTTGTTACAAAGCTCCCAAGGATGTGGTAGAGTCTATTAAGACATTGTACGAGACTAAAGGGAAGGCGAAAGAGGACAAGGGGAAGGCAACGGCCACGGCGATGGAGGCGATTAGTGATGGGTTCGGTCCTACTGGGAAGAGGAAAATTTCAGATTATTTTGGCGGCGACGCGGCGGTGGCAAAAGCTAAGGCTGATGAGTCGCTCTGCCTCTTCTTCGGCGGCCTTCGTATTCCCGAGCACCATGCGGATCACCCGCTCTTCCGCAACATGTTGAGGGCGGTGGCTGAGGCAGGCCCCGGCTACGTCCCCCCCGGCAACAAGTACGTTGGCGGCGCCGGCCTCCAGCAGTGCCGCATTCGGATCGAGGAGGGGTTGGGGCCCATCAAGAAGACTTGGGGGAAGCAGGGTGTCACCATTGCGAGCGACATGATGACCGATCGCAACGGGCGCGCACAGGCGAACGTGCTCCTGATCAATGACAATGGGGCGAATTTACAGAGAGCATCGACTGTGGGAAGGATCAGAAGACGGGCACCTACATTGCGAACATGTTACGGCCCATCGTGGAGGAGGTCGGGCCCCAGAATGTTGTGGCGCTGTGCACGGATGGGGGGAGCAACTACCGCTCGGCGTGTCGGAAGTTGGGTGTGGAGTTTCCGCACATTGAGCTGACGCCATGCGCCACCCACGTGATTGACCTGCTGCTGGAGGATGTGGGGAAGATGGACTGGGCGAAGAAGCTTGTGGACAGGGGGAACGACATGATAAACTTGCGCAAGCATCATTGGACCCGCGCGATGTTGAGGGACCCGACGCTGCCTGGGGGTAAGGTGCTGCAGGCGTTGCGTCCAGCAGGGACTCGCTTTGGCACTCAGTACATTGCGATGTCGAGGTTGTGCGAGTTGGAGCAGAAGCTGGTTGTGCTCGTGACGGGCGACCTGTGGAAGGGGTGGGCGGTGGGGGACAGGGAGGAGGGGGCCGAGAAGTTTGCAAAGGAGGTGATTGATCCGGCTTGGTGGAAGTCTGCTGCCTTCTTTGTGAAGCTGCTGCAACGGCCCTATGAGGTGATGCGCATGACGGATTCGACTAGACCTGGGATGATGGGCCGCATGTACGACCTCATGCTGCAGCTGACGGAAGATATGGAGAAGGTGTTGGATGCGGATGAGCAGCAGCTGAGCAGGGCGGAAAAGATGCGGATCTCACGCATTCTGAAGGACCGCTGGGACAACAGCCTCGCCTGTGCCATGCACGTGGCTGGCCGGATCTTGAACCCGCTTAAAAAGGACGAGGAAATATTCGGGGTCGATGTGGAGTGCACCAAGGTCTTTTAAGGAGTTTATTGCGCGCGCCCAAGACTTCTACAAGAAGTATCCTGCCATGAGTGGAGTGGTGGGGAGGGAGGTGGATTTGGAGGCGGCTGTGACGGCGTACTTGGAGTCGAGGGGGAGTTGTGGGATGCCAAAGGCTATGGAGGCCCGGGAGAAGGTGAAGCAAGGGAAGCAGACGATGGAGCAGTGGTGGATGTGGCATTGCACTGAGTGGCCCGAGCTGGCGCGCCTTGCACGTCGTGTTCTGTCCCAGCCCGTATCTGCCGCATCGTGCGAGCGGAACTGGTCTATGTGGGACTTGGTGCACACTGCAAGGCGCAACAAGCTTGGCTCAGTGAAGTGACGCGACCTTGTTTACGTTGCGCACAACTGGAACGTCGTGCACAACTTCCACAAGGGCCCACAGGTGGGGGTTGTGAAGGGGAACATCCCTGAGGCTCCTATTCCCGAGGGGTATGTCGTGGAGGAGGAGGAGGAGGAGGAGGAGGAGGCGGATGAGGCGGATCCGAAGGTGCTCGAGGACGAGTACGATGAGTACCCGAAGAAGCCGTAGAGGGGAAGGGCGTGATAGTGATTGTGGCACGCTTTAGTACTTGATGGGTGATCGTGGAATGGTATTTAAGTGGGAGTCGATGGGGGCGGATGGTGGTAATAGTAATGTTGAGAACTATGTATGCATGGTACTATTTATGGAGGTTTTTTTGGGGGGAAAAATCACATTGTTGGCTGCCCGAAGGTTCAACAACCCTCTTACCTTCCTCCCCCCCCCCCCCGAGACCCCCCCCCCTGGTTTTTTTTGGGCTGCCCGAAAGTTTTGTTTTGCCTGCCCGCCAGAGCGTCAAAACCACCGTCAAACTCTCGGAGGGTTCCGTCTAGCGTCAAAAACGGACCGTAAAAAACGTTCCGAAAAAAACGCTAGCTCCGTCAATTCCAACTAAGGCGCCTACCATAGTGACTACCGCATAGCTGCCGGCCTACAAACACGAATTAGGTAAGTGACCACTACGTCGACCTAACTGAAGGGGTAAGTCGTGTGCCGTCCACGCTCACCGCACCATGCGGAGATAACTCTATCAACGGGAGCTAGACTACGGGCTAGGCACGGGCTAGGAGGGATCTCTGCGTTCATTTACTTAGTCCCTCTCTAGCACTTGTGCGTTCACAGGGCAAAACCACAAGAGTTTCACTAGCAAAAGTTGAGAACAATGGTAGCAACTAGATCGGCAAGATAGACTACATCAGAAGACTATCATACAAGTCGACCACCAGCTCAGCACGAAGACGACTTGCCAGCTGGTCGACCTCAGGCCTCCTCAGGCGTCCTCAGTCGACCTGCAAGGTTGGCGAGCCAGCACACCAACAACAGGCCACCATAGGTCACCACACGTGCTCATGTGCGCGCACCTACTTCGCAGGTGCAAGGTGACGGTAACGACATGCACCGCCACGCACATTGCGCAGGTGCCAAGTCGACCACATGTCGACGGTTGCACCTGAGGAGTCCTGTTGACCACGTGCCACCGAACCGCAGGTCGACATTGCCAATCTACCTGGGCGACAGTCGCGAACCTCGCAGACCTTGTCGTCTGGGTAACCTGGTCAACCAGGCAACCATGTCGACCAGGTGTGTCATCCCAGGCCCGTCGACCGCCCAGGTCGACGACCACCACATGTCGACCACACCAGGTCGACCACTCCCCTGGTCGACCAACTCCAGGTCGACAACCCACGTGGTCGACCAACTCCAGGTCGACCAGTACACCTGTCAGCACCCAGTCGGCTCTCCCTGGTCGGCGTCACCCAAGTCGACGCCCCCCACTGGTCGACCTCCCAGGTCGACCAGCCGAAGTTGGCGCCCTCCCAAAGTCGGCGCCCTTGTAGTGGCCCTTGTGCAGGTCGACCAGGCCCGTCGACCAGCTCGCCCACTATTGCAGGTCGGCTGCACTCCTCACACCCGACCCCGAGGTCGGCTCCGCCCAAGCAAGGACGGGGCCAACAACAACTCCCGTTGACATGCGGGTCCATGTGGTGGTCACACATCACTGCAGCGCGCAGCAGCCTTGGATGGGCGGCTTAAGGCAGGCGGCTTGGGGCGTGCGGGTTGGGGCGGGCAATGGGAGGAGGCTGACCCGAACTGCGTGGAGCGGATGAAGACGTTACGCGGGATGGGCTTGCCCACACAGCCCGCCATGCCGCTGCCCCACAGGTACAACGCTGACAGCGCCGCTGTCTGCCCCGCCACCACCACCGATGGCAGCCCGTCCGACCGCGAGAAGGATGCCCTGTTGTCGCCCGCCCACACGAATGAGCTGCCACAGGGCGACGGGAGGAGGGAGGAGGGAGCAGAGAGGAGCGAGGAAGGAGCGGGGACAAGACAGTGTTGACTGGAACAGGCAGTGTGGAATAAAAGAAGAGGTGAGGATAGGGGCGAGGAGGAGAGGGGACAGGACAGTGTATACTGGGCACATGAAGAGGAGCTGGGAAGGGCACGATGGGTGGGAATCGCGTGGTGGTGATGGAATCATCCAATAGCGTTGAAAGTAGCTGGCAATGTGGGAATCACCTGGCAGTGCCAGTGAAGGCAGAGCGGGCGAGCACAACGCCCTGGGTGGGCCCCACGCTGTCGTTGATGAAGCGCTGCATGCTGCCCAGGTACAGCTGCACGTACTGCCACGGCCACGGTGGGGGGGTGACGATGTGGGATGACATCTAAGGCAAGGTAGCGAGTCAAGGCATAGTGGGCAGGTACAGGTGCACGTAGTGCCATAAGGAAGACAGCGCGCGGGGAAGGCGGCAAGGCAGCGAGTGAAGGCACATGGAGATAAAGGGCGCACGTGGGAGGCTGGGCAGTGAGGGGCAGTTTGGAAGAGCAGAGGGCGGTGCGGCAGACGGATTGGCATGGGCGAGGGTGGCAGCATGGAGGGGAGATGGAACGATGCATGTGTTTTACTGAACATGCTGTGACGTTGACAGATGCCAACCATGTGCGCACTCAACCATGCAGCACACGGAGCTCACTTTGTTTGAGACACATGAGTGGCAGTGAGTGTGAGTCAGTGAGTGTGAGTGGCAGTGAGTGTGAGTGGCAGTGAGTGTGACTGGCAGTGAGTGTGAGTGGCAGTGAGTGTGAGTGGCAGTGAGTGGCAGTGAGTGTGAGTGGCAGTGAGTGTGAGTGGCAGTGAGTGTGAGTGGCAGTGAGTGGCAGTGAGTGGCAGTGAGTGTGAGTGGCAGTGAGTGGCAGTGAGTGGCAGTGAGTGTGAGTGGCAGTGAGTGTGAGTGGCAGTGAGTGTGAGTGGCAATGGGTGTGAGTGGCAGTGAGTGTGAGTGGCAGTGAGTGGCAGTGAGTGTGAGTGGCAGAGAGTGTGAGTGGTAGTGAATGTGAGTGGCAGTGAGTGGCAGTGAGTGGCAGCACTAGAGGAGAAGGCGGTGAGGGCAGAACTAGGTTAGACGGACAGAGGAAGGGGAGTTGAAACGATGCAGAGGATGTGACAGACATCACAACAAGTTGCACGGACCCAAGAGAAGCAGGCAGCAGGTGGGGCTCACTTTGTTGCGCATGAGGGGGAGCGGGGTGCCGTCATGGAACACGGCACCCGGCTCAAAGTACCCGCCCTCGCCGTCGTCCGCCTTCACCCCGCCAAACACCTCCTCCCACTGCAGCATGCGCCCCATCTGCCCGCGCCACCACCGCTCCGCCTCTGCGCTGGTGAAATCCACGCACGCCCCGCGCCCCTTCCACCAGCGCACCACCTGCGGGTGCCCCGTGGCGTTGCGCACCAGCAAGGCGCGGCGCGCTGCCTCGTGGAAGTTGGGCGCGGTGGCAGCCGTGATGCCCGGCATGTCCACGCGGTTCACCTCGCTCACGCCGTTCACCTCGCTCACGAACGGCGTCGCCCCAAACACCACCCGGAAGCTGTGCAGGCAGAGGGGAGCGGGGAGAGGGGGGAGAAGGTATGATGGGAGGGGAGGGGGGAGGGGGGAAAGGGGAGAGTGGAGAGGGGAGAGGGGAGAGCAAGGTGGAAAAAAACGGTTGCGGTAAAAAACGATTGAAAAGAACGATCGTTTTTTACGGTCAAGTTTGGGAAAAAAACGTCGTTTTTTTGTTAGTCCCAAAATTAAATTCAGAAAAAAAAAAAAAAAAAAAAAAAACCTAACAAATCCCCAGCCACCAACACTCTCTGGCAAGTCAGTGTTGATAAGTTTTCTAGCCTGATTGCAATTAAAATAAAATATAGAAAGGTCGTTACAGCTCATCACTCTCTATCTAACACCATCGATGTCACTAATGTCCCATGCGTTGGACCCCCCCCCCCTCCTCCTCCTCCTCCTCCTCCTCCTCCTCCTCCTCCTCCTCCTCCTCCTCCTCCTCCTCCTCCTCCTCCTCCTCCTCCTCCTCCTCCTCCTCCTCATCCTCCTCATCCTCCTCCTCATCATCGTCTTCGTCAGCCGAACGCTTCTTCTTAAGCTTCTTGGTCGCCTTTCCCTTGTTTCCCTTTGTCACCTCTTTCTTCTTCCTCTTCCCGATGCTGCCAAAAGCTTCCCAGTCAATCACACAATCGACATCACCTTCTTCCTCTTCAACCCGTGGTTCAGAGCCTTCGGCCTGTGGTTCAGAGCTTTCGATTGCCGTCGTCGTCACTCTTTCTAGAGTGCTCTCGTTGAGCTTGCCTGCTGCTAGGTCTGCAAAAAGTTTGGCGCGCACTTCCTGCTTCTTGTCGAATGCAGCCCTCGAACGCCTACTGAATGCCACCGTGGTGACATCGATCATGGTCTGAGCGCTCAGTCTGTTGCGATCACGCCGCTGCACCCTTGCCATCGCAGACCAGCACCTCTCAACTTCCGACGCAGTGATAGGCTGTGATAACATTCTCACAGCCAAATCCTGCAGCTCGGGGAGTTCCCCTCCATACATCGCCCACCAATCCGCATGTGAGAGACGTCCACTCTCCACGAGCATCGCTGCGGCCCGTGCATCTTCCCCCCCCAGACGACCCTCACCTCTGTGGTACGTAGCAAGCTGGGCTTGCAACAAGATACGGCCTTGCACGTCACCTCCTCGTGCCTGCAGCACAGCATTGACCCCTTTGATGATCTCGGGGTCGTTGCGGACTTCAATCGCAAGCTGGTTCTTCGGGTTAAGGAGCCAGCCGAATGCATGCATCGGGTTGTGCAACTGCTTATCCCATCTGCGCCCGATGATGCCCTTGATGGCCGCCAAAAACTTCGACCTCTCCTTCCCGGCGAGCACTTGGCTGTGACGCCTGAAGAATGTCGCTGCAAAGAAAGACATAATACCATTAGGGCACGAATCTGGTTTGGCTTAGGGTGCACTTGTAATGGGTGTGCAACACTGTTTACCTGCTCCCTCTGCCGCCTCATTGACCGCCACGGTCGCCTCGAGCATCATCCCGTAGATAGATCCCATCACAAGAGCTCTTGTGTCGACTGCTCGTAGCACATTGTAGATCGGCATCATCAGTTTCTGCACTGATTTGACCGATTCCCAGAAGATATCATCCAGAAGGAGTTTCCGGATTTTCTTCGCATCTTCGGTCTTAGACACTGCCACCTCCTTCCATTGGTCACTGATGACCAGCTGACGAAGCTGTTCCTTGACCTCCAAGAACCGGGTGACCATGATCACCTGCGTGCCAAATCTGGTGGTACCTGGCCGAACAAGCGCCAGCTTGCTGAAGATCGTGCGGAAAAGGGCAACAGCGCTCGCACTTCCCTTGACCATCATCACGATGCGATGGACCTGGGTGAGAACTTTCTTCACAATGCCGATCTTACCCATGTCGTGGAGCATGAGATCGAGACAATGGGCAGCACAGTTGGTGAAGAAAATCGACGGGTAACCCTCACCGAGAATTGCGGCAGCACTCTTGTTATTACTTGCGTTGTCCATGACCACCTGAATCACCTTGGTGTCCCCCACCTTCACGATTGACGTCCTTATGAGATCAGACAGGTATGAACCTGTCTTCTTCGACAGCTTGGAATCGACAACTTTGACAATCACTGGTGCAGTGTCGCTGTGCGCCAACACACACACCAAGCCGCATGAGTTCTTCCGTCTCTGTCTTCAATCTGGCGAGCAATGGGCCCGCGACTTTGTAGGCAGACGGGAGTGTGTAGGGTCTCCTAAAACTCACTAACGCGTTCAGAAAGTTCTGGACCGCAACAGATCTGTGGGGTGTGGTATGAATGCCAGCAAAGCATAATATTAACAAGGTGAGGAGGAGCGTTGCAGCAGCAGCCAAATCATGATGGGCACGAATCTGCAGCAGCCATGAGATGAGCGCTATTACACCATAACTAATTAACACCTAAAATGGGGAGGGAAGATGTCCATGGAAGAAACATGGCACAAGGGTTAAGCGTTTCCACTCACTCAGAGACCCGAAACGCCCAATCGTTCTCTGCCACCGCAGTCACCCAGAGCAGATCGAGTTTCTCACGGCCCTTTTCGTCCGTGACGTCACGGATGTCGAGCTGGCGACCCTTCTTAGGGCCGTTCCCCACCAAGGATGTTGAGCTGCTCGGATTGCCCGTAGACGTTGCACTCTTGAGGCGGAGATTCACCGCAAAGTCAGACTTACAGACACCTATGTTTTTCGGCTGACCTTTCTCGATCCCTAAAATGTGGTCTCTGATTCGTGTAGCGCTTGCAGGAATGACAGTGGGTTTGTCCTTAGGGCAGTGAATGCACACATAGCCGACTTTTCCGTCTTTGTCAGTTACCTCCTTCACGTGGTCCCACAGTTCAGACCGTGCTCTAGGCATTGTGGATGAAAAACGGGCCTACTCGAACAAGAACTGGCTAGAATGGACGTGGAGTGCTGAAGACAATGGTGTGGTGGCTACTAATAACAACAGAAATCGTCCGTCGGCAAACGGCTTGCAGCTTTGCTGGGAGTATGCGTTCACGCCGGGCGTTGGATACTATCAGAGAGATTGGGCGTGCTACGCGCTAGTCCCGTGGAATTCGTGTCGGACACCACGAATTCAGAAATTGCGTTACGGGAAGTGAAAGTGGGTAAGACGTGGCAACACTTGGAAGTCACGTCGCAAACCCAAATGTAAAAGTTTCGCTGACGTGCAGCAACAAAATATCATGTCGCAAATGCAACTGTAATTCTTCGCAGCGCTGCATTCATACGTGCGCTGACGCTTTTATGACGCGCGCGAAAAAAGCGAGAGCAAACTTTCCGATGCGAAACATTTTTCACGTCGCAACCAACCCTAGCATGACGAATTGATGCGTGCGTCAACTACCTGCGGTTCGAGGAACAAACAGAAGCATGAATCCTCCCGCTACCTCAACCCCTTGTGTTGCTTGTGTATAGAGTGAAACCCTTCACTGCGAGTTGTGCGTTTTCCGGAGATCATCGTAACTGTAAATTGTGGTACGAAACTTACGATCGTAAAAAACGATCGTTTTTTTTCACCAAAAAAAGACTAATCAATATTCTCGTTTTATTCCGTTTTATACGATCGTAAATTACGATATCGAAAAAAACGACAAAAAAATGAAAAAAACGTCGTTTTTTTGCACCCTGGGGGAGAGGGGAGAGGGGAGAGGGGAGAGGGGAGAGGGGAGAAGGAAGAAGGGAGCCATTTTGTTTGATTCAACCACTCTTTGAGTTCACTTTTGGATCCCTCACCTGTGTCGCTTTCCAACAGGACCAGCAGCACGCACCCGAGGGCATGCAGGTTGGAGAAGAGCGTGTGGGGGTGGGTGAAGTGGAGGTGGTTGATGGCGAAGTCGTTGTATGCCGTCTGCCACGGGCTGTCCATCAGTATCACCGACCCCGGTATGCCATGCTGCCGCAGCTTCTCCGCATCTTCCAATACCTGTGGGTGAGACGCGCATGCACGCCCCATGCCCTCCACAAGCGATCCCCCATGAAATGTACGCCCATCCCCCATGCAATGTACGCCCATCCCTCATGCGATGCAAGAGACAGGAAAGACAAGAAGGCTGGCATGTGAGCCACTGGGATGCATCACACACCCTCCTCATGCATCACACACCCTCCTCATGCATCACACACCCTCCTCATGCATCACACACCCTCCTCATGCATCACACACCCTCCTCATGCATCACACACCCTCCTCATGCATCACACAACCTCCTCATGCATCACACAACCTCCTCATGCATCACACAACCTCCTCATGCATCACACACCCTCCTCATGCATCACACAACCTCCTCATTCATCACACAACCTCCTCATGCATCACACAACCTCCTCATGCATCACACAACCTCCTCATGCATCACACAACCTCCTCATGCATCACACAACCTCCTCATGCATCACACAACCTCCTCATGCATCACACAACCTCCTCATGCATCACACAACCTCCTCATGCATCACACACACCATAACCCCTCTCACCCCTCTCCACCCTGTCCCTCGAATCCGCCAGCTATTCCCCGCCCGCTGCACCCGTGCTTCATGGGCCCCTGCCACACACACCCCTTCCCCCCCCCACTCCACCCGCCTTCCCCACCACCTTCTTGTTGCGTGCATGGTACATAGCTTCCATTCCACGCACACACCTTGTTGTTGCGTGCACGGTACATAGCTTCCATTCCACGCACACACCTTGTTGTTGCGTGCACGGTCCATAGCTTCCATTCCACGCACACACCTTGTTGTTGCGTGCACGGTACATAGCTTCCATTCCACGCACACACCTTGTTGTTGCGTGCACGGTACATAGCTTCCATTCCACACACACACCTTGTTGTTGCGTGCACGGTACATAGCTTCCATTCCACGCACACACCTTGTTGCGTGCACGGTACATAGCTTCCATTCCACACACACAACTTGTTGTTGCGTGCACGGTACATAGCTTCCATTCCACGCACACACCTTGTTGCGTGCACGGTCCATAGCTTCCATTCCACGCACACACCTTGTTGTTGCGTGCACGGTACATAGCTTCCATTCCACGCACACACCTTGTTGTTGCGTGCACGGTACATAGCTTCCATTCCACGCACACACCTTGTTGTTGCGTGCACGGTACATAGCTTCCATTCCACGCACACACCTTGTTGTTGCGTGCACGGTACATAGCTTCCATTCCACACACACACGTTGTTGTTGCGTGCACGGTACATAGCTTCCATTCCACGCACACACCTTGTTGCGTGCACGGTACATAGCTTCCATTCCACACACACACCTTGTTGTTGCGTGCACGGTACATAGCTTCCATTCCACGCACACACCTTGTTGCGTGCACGGTCCATAGCTTCCATTCCACGCACACACCTTGTTGTTGCGTGCACGGTACATAGCTTCCATTCCACGCACACACCTTGTTGTTGCGTGCACGGTACATAGCTTCCATTCCACGCACACACCTTGTTGTTGCGTGCACGGTACATAGCTTCCATTCCACGCACACACCTTTGCTCCCAAATGGTTGCACCTGCCTTGTACCCACATACACACGCCACACGCCCACACACACACCCCACGCACCCCACACATCCCACAAATTCCACACACCCCACGCACGCCACACACGCACCTCCTGGCTGCTGCGGTGCATGTCGCAGCCCTTCCAGGGCGCAAAGGCCCAGAGGGGTGGAGGGATGGGGCGCGAGGAGGAGAGGCGCGAGAAGAGTGCGAGCACGTCCAGCAGGCGCGGGCCCGCCATGAACACCAGGCGCAGCGACGTGAAGACCGGGTAGCGCAGCACCTGGGGGTGGGGGGGTGGGGGGGCGCAGGGAGAGGAGGGTGCTAAGGGGCGAATGGAGAGAAACGAGAGGAGAGAGGGCACGTGAAGGTGTGGAGGTGGCAGCAAGTCAAGGGATGGGAGAGGCAGAGGCGAGGCGAGGGTGGTGTGGCATGCCACATAGAGGGAAGTTGGGGGAAAGTGGGGAGGTAGAGGGCACATCATGGAGAGAGGTGGAGGACAGAGAGTGGGGAGGAGGAGGGGTGAGAGTATCGCTGTCGACAATACGACCACAGAATTGGCAATAAACGGGAGGAAAGCATATTTGCTAACAGCCCACACAGCCATCTAGCACATGCACTTTGCTGCAGCGTCGACCATGCAACAAGCATGAACCATACACCACCATTCATGCACCATGCACCACCATGCGTGCACCACCATACACCACCATACACCACCATACACCACCATCCACCCCATACACCACCATGCAGCACCATGCAGCACCATGTGGTGGGGGTGGGAGGCGTGGTTGAGCAGGAAGGAGCCCTGGGCGTGCGAGTCCACCCACACGCCCCACCCCGACGTGCTCATCACGAACGGCACCGCCTTGTACGTGCGCTCCGCCTGGGGGAGAGGCGTGGGGGGACGAAGTGAGGTGAGGTGAGGGATGGCGGCAAGGCAAGCTGCGCGATGACGATAATGGACTCGATCGAGAGGCTGGAGAGGACAGGCCACACGAGAGAGAGAGAAGTTCGCCCTGCCAATTCAAGTCGGGGTCCCACCTGGTCCCACCTGGTCCCACCTGGTCCCACCTGGTCCCATCTGGTCCCACCTGGTCCCACCTGGTCCCACCTAGTCCCACCTGGTCCCACCTGGTCCCACCTGGTCCCACCTGGTCCCACCTGGTCCCACCTGGTCCCACCTGGTCCCACCCGGTCCCACCTGGTCCCACCTGGTCCCACCTGGTCCCACCTGGTCCTGCCTGGTCCCACCTGGTCCCACCTGGTCCCACCTGGTCCCACCTGGTCCCACCTGGTCCCACCTGGTCCCAACCCCAAGTGGAGTCAATGTCCCACCTGGTTGCCTGAGGGTGTGTCTCGGCTGGCCATGGGCAGCACACTTCCCTTCTGGTTCACCGCGTTGAACCGCTCTCCACCACCGTACCATCCAACAGGGCTGTCCTGGATCTGCAAAGGGCAAGGCGAGGAGGGGCGGAATGGGCGGGAAGGCGAGTGACAAGTGTGTGTGCGACAGCTAGGGGAGGGGCGGCGGTGGTCGGTGGGTGAGAGAAGAGGAATGACGGATGTGAGATGGCATGGCATGAGTTCAAGGCCCCCTCGCTCACCTTCACCCCTCTCTCACCTTCACCCCTCTCTCACCTTCAGCTCCAGGTGCAGCGGCGCTTCAAAGGGGCGCTGTGCACGCCGTGCTGCTGCTGGCTGGCGCATGTTGGTGGCATGCACGGGCAGGGGTGATGGAATGCACGGGCAGGGGTGGTGGGCGTACGGGAGGGCAGGGGGGGATGGAGAGGGGGGAGACGAAGTGTGACCACGTGGTGCGCGGACAGGTAGAAGTGCACACAGAGGCGTGGAGTGCTCACAGGGGCGTTGAGTGCACACAGGGGCGTGGAGTGCACACAGGGGCGTGGAGTGCACACAGGGGCGTGGAGTGCACACAGGGGCGTGGAGTGCACACAGGGGCGTGGAGTGCACACAGGGGCGTGGAGTGCACACAGGGGCGTGGAGTGCACACAGGGGCGTGGAGTGCACACAGGGGCGTGGAGTGCAGGCAGCGATCACAGCGCATGGGGGAAGGCCAGGGCAGGCAGCGCAAGGCAGCACATGGCAGCACATGGCAGCACATGGCAGCGCAAGGCAGCACATGGCAGCACATGGCAGCACATGGCAGCACATGGCAGCACATGGCAGCACATGGCAGCACATGGCAGCACATGGCAGCACATGGCAGCACATGGCAGCACATGGCAGCACACGGCAGCACACGGCAGCACATGGCAGCACATGGCAGCACATGGCAGCACATGGCAGCACATGGCAGCACATGGCAGCACATGGCAGCGCAAGGCAGCACATGGCAGCACATGGCAGCACATGGCAGCACATGGCAGCACATGGCAGCACATGGCAGCACATGGCAGCACATGGCAGCACATGGCAGCACATGGCAGCACATGGCAGCACATGGCAGCACATGGCAGCACATGGCAGCACACGGCAGCACACGGCAGCGCAAGGCAACACGTACGAGGTTGGGCGCCACGGTCCACGTGACAGCGATGGCGCGTGCACTCAGCACCTCCGCACTCACTCCCACCCGCACCTCCACCTCCTCGCCCCCTTCCCTCTCCCCGTCGCTCTCCACCCTCTCCTCCGCAGCCCCACCGTCCCCTGCGCCCAGCAGGCAGGCACGGTGTGCAGCAAACACACGGGGCCAGAGGGAGGAGGGATGAGGGCACGCAGGAGGGGGGTGGCGGCACGCAGGAGAGGGGTGGCGGCACGCAGGAGAGGGGTGAGCGAACGTGTGTGGGCGAGAGGGGAATGACAAGGATGGGGAGGGAAGGAGTGGTGGGGTAGAAGGGAGAGGAGGCGAGGAGAGGGGAGGCAGAGGAAATAAATTCATGCACTACCAGCCCATACCTCTCCCTACCCCCGGTTCCCCCTCACCTCTGCCCACTCGCACGTGCCCCCGCCACGTCACACCCTGCGTGCTGCCCTTCCCCACTCCCGTCCAACCACCACTACCACCAGCACCAGCAGCAGCACCAGCAGCAGCAGCAGCGCCCTCCGCCTGGAAGGCTGACAGCGGGCGGCCCTGCAGCACGGGCGGCAGCAGCGGCAGCAGCAGGGGTGGCACGGCGGTGAGGCGGGTGGGCGGGTGGGCGGGCATGGCAACGCGGGAGGGGGAGAAGGCGAGCAGCAGGCGAGCAGAGGGGGCGTGCAGGCGCACTGCCATGCGCCGCGTGCCCGCCAGCAGCACTGGGTGGCTCACGCTGCTGCTGTTGCCCACCCCCTGCTGCCCCTCCCTTGCGCCGCCGCCGCCGCCGCTGGTGCTGGTGCTACCGCCCTCTGCTGCCCCATCCTCCTCACCCCTTTCTTCATCCTCCTCCTCTCCCCGTCCCTGCTGCCCCGCCTCCCCTCCCCGCTCTTCCCCTTCCGTCTCCGCTGCTTCTTCCCCTCTCCCTTCCGCCTTAAACAACTTCCCGCTCCCCCCTCCACCCTGTCTCTCCCCCCGCCCCGCCTGCTGTTCCCTCCCGCCCTCCGCCCCTCTCTCCTCCGCGCCCCCCCTCCCCGCGCCCACCTCCGCGTCCTCCGCCACCTCCAGCGCCGACGACGCAGCGCCCTCGCGCTCGCCCTCCCCCTCCGCGCCCCCCTCCCCCGTGCCGTCGCCCTCCACGGCGCGCGTCTCGTCCAGCGCGCGCTGCACCACCTTCGCCTCGCGCCCGCCGCCCTTGAGGTCCACCAGCGCGCGCTCCTCCATCTCCCCCTCCTCCTCCCACTTCCGCTCCCCCTCCTCCTCCGCCTCCCCCCCGAACTCCCCCAGCAGGTTCCCCCCGCCCTGCGCCTTCGCCTCCACCAGGTCCTTCAGCTTCACGCCCGCCGCCTGCGCCATGCCCGCCTTCGCCACGATGCGCCGCACGATATCCCCCCCCGCCAGGGCCGCCCCTCCGCCGCGCGCGCCCTCCGCGTCCGCCAGCGCGCCGTCCCCCGGCAGCAGGTCGCGGTCGCCGGGGCCCTCCAGGGAGATCACGCTGCGGCTCTTCCGCCGAGCCACGTCTTTAGGTTTGGGCCGCTCCACAACGAGCCCCCGAACCTGCAGCCTCCCCGCGCTCACCGCCGCCGGGTCCGCGTCGTGTGGGGGCTGGCGGCGGGGGGCGTGCGACCAATGGTAGCAGAGCCAGAGCGTGACTATCGCGAAGGCGCACGCCTGGATGACGTGCGCCGCGCGGATTCCGTATCCCGCCTTGTGCGCGCCGCCGTGCCAGCGGGCTCGCAGCGTAGCGCGCGCGGAATGATGGTGCGATGAGGACATTGGGAAGCGCGCTTCTACCGGCGCGAAACCCACGGGTGGATTAACGCAAGGACGAGGTGGGCGGTCCGACTGCGGGAAGCGGGAGGGGGCGAAAACAAAGCATGTGTGATCAAATAGAAAACGACACTTGCCCCACCATCTCAGCACACATACCGTATTTGTGTTTTTTTAACGGTGTTGTAAGGGTGTTGTAATGCATTACAACACCCTTGCTGTTGTAATGCATATTTGTGTTTTTTTAACGAGGAAACACCCCGCGAATGTCTTGAGCCGAGAAACCGGGCACAATCCATGAAGCATGTGAATGCGTCATGCTCATTAGCCCATATTCAATGGTAACCAGCATTACAGATTGGGGGCCGACCAACGTGTACCACGTCCAATGCTTTGTGTCAGACCGCCTCGGACGTCTCATCCCTTGCATGGCACGTGAGGCTCTCAGCACAGAGTCGCGCTATCTCTTTCACGTCTCGTACACAAGCGAATTTGACACCGCCAGGGAACGGACCCACCTCTGTGCAATGGGGAGCGCAGCTTGGCAGAGTCTATCATGTTGGAAACAATTGATTTAAGCGCCTCTGTCGTGTCGAAACACCAAGTCAGAAGCGAAGCAGAACATATCGAAGCATCAGCGAGTCAACCCTCGGAGGTTGAACAACTGCTGGAGGTTACGCGAAAGTCAAAGGTCAGCGACCTTTGACCTGACAAATACAGCGCGACAGCAAGGACAAACAACTGACTCACTATTGAGCAGTTGCCCGAGTCGTCACTGTATCGAACCGCAACAGCAACAGCAAAACGGAATTTGAAGTGATTGAATAGGATCGTACTACTTAGGATGGTAGCTTCCTGTCGTAGCGGAAGTCTTATATGAGTTAAAGCCTGTTATGAAAGCTTTGTCTGGACTTAATAAAAGCCCATGTAGTGATACGTTTCAGGCAGGGCCTACCGTATGTTTGGTTTTTGGCTACTCACGATTAGCAGTGTAGCATTTTTGAAAACCCTTCTGATCAGTGTGAAATTTTTCGTTACACAGATACATCAGTGTAACATTGATTTTCAAAAAAATTACCCCAGAGCATCAGTGTAGAGTTTTTGTGTACCCTTATTGCAAATTTATATCACTAATCGTTATAAAGAGAAGGGAACCAACATTTTATTTATGTAGCCATTATGTCACATGAATGTACCCTCATCCTCGCTACCATCAGACGACTCCTCTCTTTCCTTTCCTTTTCCAGAGCACGACTTGTGAGGGGCAGGTGTTTTTGCGGGTCTTCTTCTTTTTTGCTTCCGCCAGATATCCACCACCTCGGGCCTCTTGTACTCATAGCTCAACATGTTCAGGGTCATCAGTTCGGATAGCCGGGCGTCACCAAGCGACGTTCGCAACCAGCTTTTGATGACGTTTTGGCGGCTGAATCCGCGCTCGCACTCCACGGTACTTAGCGGAATTACTGCCAGCGCCTGCCACATGGACGTCAGGTTGGGAAAACTGCGCGGCCAATCCTTGGTCCTCAGCATTTTGTTAAGTCCCTGGTAGAAGTCATCGTCCTGGTAGTGGCGAGACATGACGTGGCAGAAGCTGGCCAGCTCGAGCTCTACCGCTCGGTGGTTGAAGCCTGCCACGTGTGTTGGAGGGACAACATTTTGTGAGGTGAAAGGCCGAAACAAAACAAAACAAAACAAAACAAAACACGTGTGGATGATTACCTGGCAGCCGGTTGTTGAAGAGCCGCGCGTTGGCATCCAGCCAACTCAGCACCCGACGATCCCGCTTGTCTGTCGCTTCTGGCCACGTTTCAACTTTGTAAAGCTTGCTGCCATCCATTTGCTTCAAGCTCCACATTCGAGTGTGCATGTTTGTCGCCACCTCCAATGCGAACGCTTTGCACAACTTGATGCAGTCGGCCATCGAGCCGCCGTATTGGTGTCTTGCTATTGGTGCCTCGCTCAGCACGATCTGATGTGAAGATGGCTCACCATCCGCATCCGTGCCGTCCACGAGGATAGTTCGCCTACCGCTGCCAAGGCGTGCGATGAATGGCGACAGCAGCTTGCTGACCCCCCCTCCGAAAATGTCCACGTATTCCACGTATCGAAGTCTGATGACTCCAATCGTGCGATCCACCTCTTGGTGCACAAGCGTGATGTCAACCTGAACCAAAGACGGGCACATGAACAACATGTTTAAATGTTAGTGTATAATTAAATGACACGACTAAAAGAAAAACATGCACAGTGAATCAACACTTACTTTTTTGCGCTGGAAAAAATTGTTGAGTGCGTTTATCTCTGCCAGCAGATCCGCCAAGAAGTAGACGCAGAAGTGAAACTTGAGGGTCTGCACAGTTACCGCCATGCTGTGGTTGTACTCGATGAACACCACGATCGCCGCCCCAAGAATTCTGCACAGACGGGCCACTGCATCCCCGCGCGATAGCCAACGCACGTCGAATAGCCTCTGGTGCTCCAGATTCGTTGGATGTATTTCGAGCTGGAGCTCCTTGAAGCGCTCAAGCCACACCGAAGACCGCATGACGACTTCGCCAAGCCCACGGATGGCGTCATCGACGATGTCGAGGTCCGGAAACTTGCTCGCGGCTTCTTTGACCGCGAGCACTTATCTGCATACAACATTAGAAAATTTTAAGGCCGTGGAAGTTACTCATTTATACGAGGCGATTGCAAACAGCAAACCTACCTGTGCGCTATGCAATGAGTCCCGACCAGATGTGGGACGCGCTGACGGAGACGAACAACAAGCCCGGATTGGCTGCCAATCATCACCCCCGCGCCGTCGGTGCTAACTGCGACAATCCGCTGCAGATCAATCCCGATGTTGTCGAGGTGGGTCAGCAAAACCGCGAAGAGGGAACCCGCGTCGCATTTGTGTATGGTGAGTAGAGCGAGAAATTCCGTCACCACTGCTCGCTCCTTCATGAAGGTTGCAAACACCACGAGGTGTTTGCCGCGCGACCGGTCTGTGCTCTCGTCGCAGCTGATGCCGATCCACGGTGATGCATGGATGTACATAAGCTGCTGCTGTTGCTGATACGTGCACATAGCCTTCACCATCTCCGTGAAGCCGTATCTGCATGGTGCGCAAAAGGGATGGTGTTAATCCTTCCGGAAGCTATACACCAATACGGCAACAAATTATTAAATTCCACTCACTGCGTGATATATACACCGTAGGTCTGCTGAGGATGTCTGAAACGCCTTCATTCGCGAGGAAGTCGACGAGCCTCGGGAACATTGCGATCCGAGCGTCCTCGTCGCACACAAACTGGATGCTGCGCATAAGTCTCGTCACTCGCGCACCCTCGGGGTCAGCCCTCTCGTAGTCGTCGATTTTCTTCTGCGCCGCCAGCTTGTCCAGAAGACCCTTCTGCCGATCAATGCAGTCGTGATGGCGGGAGCTCGCTTGGTGTGCCCGCATCAACGCTGGCTGCAGGTCCCGTCCGCCGCTGCCATTCCGCCCGTATCGTGCATTGTCGGGACCGTGTTCGCTGCACACACTGCACCGCAAACAAGGCAGACCATCATCACCCTTGTCAAGCAACAACCAATCGAATTGCGGCAGCCTTTTGGTGATGTAATTCCTCTGTGCTTCAAGGAACTTTGCTTCCGCGCGTTCGGCCGGAGTCTGCTTCAGAGGTGACGGAGATGGTGTCACAACGGGAGGTGGCGGAGGAGCAGGTTTCACGAGAGGCGAGCCGCCGCCGTAAACCAAGAGTAGACTGCGTGCACCGGCGTTTTTTCAGCGACACGGAGTTAGAAGACTCCGGGACTTCAGAGAACATTTCCGTCGAGGCGACAAAGTCGTGCACGACGGGTTCCGCCTCATCGCGTTCCGGACGCTGCCATCCACCGTCCTCACCCTCAGCTTGAGGCTGGTGCGGTGGTGATATTTGGGCCGCTTTGCGCACAGGGTACATCCATCCCTCACTTTCATCAGAACGCTCGGGCAAAGGACGGGGTGCAGGTTCTGAGACTGGGCCTCGTAAGAAATTAAGGCCCGTTCTTGGACCGTGGCTACAATGGGGGTCGCCATCGGCATTGTCAGCGTCATCGTCGCTCGGCGCTGTCATGGCAACGGGGTGGAGAACGTGTGGATGCTAGACAGAGTGGCAAAAAAAAAAACAGTGGTTTTTGGAGTTGGCTGGAGGAATGGCCGAGTGTTGCGAAACTGCTTGACCCACTCTGCTGAGCTTGCTGAACCAACACGGCACAGCAGCAGGTCGCTTCGTTGGGTGACGCGGCTTGCATCTGTGCCACCGACAGTATGAATGTGGTCAGGGATTTGACTAAGTGCAGGCAACATCTCGAAACATAACAAACTGACCAATTACACAGATGACTGCCGCCAACGCATATTCTGCGGGGAAGGCCGCTTCGGTACTTGCGTGATTGACGGAAATCACGCTCGTGCAAAATTTCGGGAATGAAAGGGGGGGGGGGGGGGGTGGGGGGGGGGGTGCCCTGTACGCCCTTAAGGGTAATCTTCGTTTTCAAAAAATTTACCCCAGACCATCAGTGTGGCCTAAATCGTTTCACTGTCAAATCAGTGTAACACTAACTTTCAAAAAAATTACCCAAACACATCAGTGTAGGCCCTAAAATTCACCCTTCTCATCAGTATAGCAGTGTGATTTACACTGATAAAATAGGCCCTGCGTTTCAGGATCAATGTCTCTGAAATCAGATATATTATAAATTGACAAACATACAAAATATATAGCTAGAGTAAAGTACCTGTTCGCCTACTGTACTGTGCTATTCTTGTTCTGAAATGGTATGTAACTTTTCACAAGGTCTATAGCTATGTGCTGACGTCATCCTAGGGTGCGTAGCGCTTTGCTGACGTTAGCCTATCGGTACTTTACTGTACTACACGAATTTCCTTGAAGTGCTTAAGTCTCGATATTATCTCAACACTCCCCTTCACTTCTAGGAGTTCGGTGTAGTTACCCGGTTGTCTCAGAAATTCCGCTGAG